GACCTTCAAGGGAGCGACCGAAATGTTGCGCGCGATACGTCGCCTTACTATTGTGATCATTTCTGTGAAATAGTTTTAAAATCCGACTTCAAATAACGAAGTAATGGGCCGACATGATTTTGCTGCAAGATCATGCTGTGACCTTGACTTCCAAGGTAGTGACCAAAATGTTGCGGGCTATACGTAGTCTTAATATAGTGATTATTTTGGTGAAATAGTTTTAAAATCTGACTTCAAATAACGAAGTTATGGGCCGGACACAATTTTGCTGCAAGGTCATGCTGTGACCTTAAACTTCAAGGTAGCGTCCCACATGTTGCGCGCGACACTTCGGCTTAATATGGTGATCATTTCTGTGAAAAAGTTTTAAAATCAGATTTCAAATGACGAAGTTATGGGCCGGACACGATTTTGCTGCAAGGTCATGCTGTGACATTGACCTTCAAGGTAGCGACCAAAATGTTGCACGCGATACGTCGTCTCAATATGGTGATTATTTCTGTGAAATAGTTTTAAAATTCGACTTCAAATAACGAAGTTATGGGCCGACACGATTTTGCTGCCAGGTCATGCTGTGACCTTGGCCTCCAAGCCCAAATGTTGCGCGCGATACGTCGTCTCAATACGGTGACTATTTTTGTGAAATAGTTTTTAAATCCGACTTCTAATATCGAAGTTATGGGCCGGACACGATTTTTCTGCAAGGTCATGTTGTGACCTTGACCTTCAAGGTAGCGACCCAAATGTTGCGCGCGACACTTCGCCTCAATATGGTGATCATTTCTGTAAAATACTTTTAAAATCCTACTTTAAATGACGAAGTGATGGGCCGGACACGACTTTGCTGCAAGGTCATGCTGTGACATTGACCTTCAAGGTAGCGACCCAAATGCTGCGCGCGATACGTCGACTTAATATGGTGATCATTTCTGTGAAATAGTTTTAAAATTCGACTTCAAATAACAAAGTTATGGGCCGGACACAATTTTGCTGCAAGGTCATGCTGTGACCTTGGCCTTCAAGGTAGCGACCCATATGTTGCGCGCGACACTTCGGCTCAATATGGCGATCATTTCTGTGAAACAGTTTTAAAATCCGACTGAAAATAACAAAGTTATGGGCCGGACAGGAGGACTGACTGACGGACGGACGGACGGACAACCCGGCGACTATATCCTCCCCCGAAATTTTTCGGGGAGCATAAAAATAATAAACTATAAAATCTGCATATACAAATAGTGTGCTACAACTTGAAACAAAATAATGCTACAACTAGAAACAAAATAATACATATATATGTGGGAAACAAGTCGCATTAAATTACAAATAATTGTTAGTGTACCATTTTGAAATAGATTATAATTATATTGCAGTTTACGTTTCCATTACCACTGTGTATCAATTTAGTGATGTTTAACCTTTCAATAATATCTAATTGTTATATAAACCTTTTATATTGCTGCAAATGTAATTGACTTATGTGACATTTAGATTAAATCAAAGAATTCTAGTTTAATTAGTACTTCAATATTTTCTGCACGAAAGTAAATTCAAATTACGCAGTTATTCACCATACCGACAGCCGTAACCATCCTTTACAACACTTCTTTTTAAAACATTTATAAAAATAATACTACAAGTACAAATCCTCAAGACTTAAAATTGCATTAATCTCTGAAATTGCTATCAATATATTTCTTAAAAACTTTTTATTGTCTGTGTCTTTTCACAAGTTACTCATTGACCAATCGTTTGTTTTTACCGAAATTATATAATCATAGGAATACAAATACTACTTTGTTTACGTTTGTTACATGAACGATATATTACTGAATATTAAACGCAACTTTCTGCAGTTGTTTATTATCTAATATGCTCTAAATTCATTATAAAAACGTTATTAAAGATATGTTTGACGTTTCTTATGAATAAAAAAAATATTGATTTTTAAGGTTTAATGTTACAAACAACAACATAAAAACTATTGAAAAGTGATTCAAACTGACATAAAACACATACTGTCTATAGCAATTATCATAATTGTGAAAAATAAACAAAACAACTGTTCTAATGTATATAGATTAAAGTGACATTTGCTTCCCCAACGAGGGTATGGTAAGTGAACAGGTAATATAATACTTATAATAATATATACTTCATGTGTATCATTAATAATATAAATAAATATTCCGCTCCTTTTTAAGTAGGTTTGACGATGATTTCACAAATGCTTCACTGGCTTTTAATATACGAGTAACTGACAAATTTCTTACCAGTATTATTTAAATTTACAGTTAAAAAATGCATGTGCATAGCTTTATACACTTATGGGTCTAAACTACAAGTTTAACTTCAATATTTTTCCTCAAGATTGGACCTCAAAATTTATCATAAAGCTAATGGTAGTACTTCAGTTAGGCAGCATGTAATAACTATGCAAATGGCTTTGATCTGGGATATATGATAAATTATTATTTTCAGTTTTAATTCCCCACTTAAATATGGTATTAAATAACAAAATACTATCATTAATAGCAACAATGTACAATAGATAGTAAAAAAAGTAAAAAAACATGAAACATATATTAAGTATCAAATAAAAAGTATTATATCACATTATGAAATAATGAAATTACTTGACTTTCTATTGAGCTTTAAAGACATGGAAAACAAAACACTGTTACAAATAAATATCATAACAAATGCATGTATATGTTTATATATTTATTCATCATAGATCTGTTCAGTCTAAGCTGAGGCTGGCCTACCTTTAGTACTGGTTAAGGCTCAAAAGCATTGGTCATTCTGGCTAAGACCTGAATACAACTTTTATTAAACTGTCTTAAATTCTGCCAAATTACCTACCTTGCAAATATAAGAGCAGACTGTATTTATATATTTAATGATATCCATTTGATGTTCAATTAAACCTCAATTTTGACTTGATACTTATCTTATTGTATTGACAGACAATAGGGCATGTTATAATAGAAATATAAAATGGCATGTACTTACAGACAATGTGATTAAAAAAAGTAAAAACAACAGGCGATTGGAAAGAGCATGCAATAACAATGCGAAACAGCATTTTATAGCAGATAATGAGATATAGCTTTACAATCCAATCAAAAGTGATTAAAATGTTATAACAGAAATAAAATAACAAACACTGTAATAAAGCATTAAAACAAACAAAATGATGGAGCATATTACAACAGACAATGTGGTAGAGCATGTAATATCAGATCAGAAAAAATGTGATAGAGGTGTGATAACATGCAATGTGATAGAGCATGTAATTGAAGACAATGTTAAAGAGCATGTAATAACATTATAAAAGCTTCAAATTTATCAAGATTTTTTTATTTTGATGCTTTAACATGAACATTATTTTTCTTCCCTTTTTTATTTAATTAAAAAGTCATTATAAAGACATCTTTTTATACCACTATAATATTTTAGCTATCTTACTTATTGGTTTCAATTTAAAACCGTGCATTCTCGACAGAATAATATTTAACCCTATTGTGTTATTCACCAAACTTAACTCCGGACAAGAGATATGAACGAAGTAAGACAAACCACTGTGTCTATAACAGTCCAAGGAAGATATCTTGTGTGTCAGCATTCTTTGTTCTGCCATTGACACTGTAGAAACTCTGGTGCAGATGTTAAAGTCATTAAGCCCATTTTACCAATTAACAGACACATTAGCATCAAACCGATCAGCCAACGAACTGCCGGGCAGTGATAATCTAACATTAAATTTGATATATGAATTAAAAAAAACTGCTGTGCAATCGTTTGCAAATCAATACAATTCGATTTCAAGTGACCTTATTAATCAAATTCAAAAATATGTTTAAAAGAAAAGTAAATTCACAGATATGTTAAATTCTCAAAAATTGAAAATAATTTATAAATTCCGCTGATGCATCTCGTGGTCAACTGAAAGTAACATTTGTGAAAAGTAAAAGTGGATTCGATACTCTGAAAGGCATTCTTCCTCTTTTACAAATAAAAAGGTTTAACTCTTTCTGGATGAATATTGCGGACATGGTAATTCATAAGATAAAAGGAATATTACGGGAATATTACCGGAGTAGTGCTTATTCGTTATATAATTAAATTTTCAATTTTCAATTTACAAAGAATATTCCAGTTATTTTGAAGATTTTGAGGTTATGACAGTAATTTTGTTATGTAACGAATATGAAACTTCCGTAGAAAAATTAATGTTATTCCTTATAATATGGAAATATTTGGCATTAGTCTTCTTGTCTCAATCATAAGATATTTTAGCTTAAAATGTACCAGGATTTTGATATAGTTCCGATCCATTTTTACCGGTATAAACGATAACAAATGTGAAAATGTACAAAAGGTTCGGAAAGAATTCAGATTGACAACAATGGGATAATATCATGATATATATCTAAAAACCGTGGTATTATTATTATTTTTTTTTACTTATATCTTTAAACAATTTTGGAACATTTGTTTAGAGCATACTATAATATATAGCTTAGATCTATGTCACTATTTGAGTAGATAAAGACTAGCTTGGAATGGATTGTTAAAAATGACCGGAATAAAATTAAATTTAATATCTGATATCGATATGCATATTTTCAATGAGCAAGGATTGACGGTCAACTCACCAAAGTCTCATTACATATTTTACTAAAGTAGATCTACTGTACTTTGTTACAAATTAAAGTTGTCTGATATGTTATAATCATGGCGTGTATAAATGGTTGTTGCCAATTTAACATTTTATAATGAGCCGTTTAGAATGTGAGACATCTTTATGAATTGTAATATATTCTGTAAAAATTCTTTTTAATACAAAATTACGTTTTCAATAAAATAGAAAGAAGTAAATAAATTTAAACAAATCATGCATATACATATATAAAGATTAATGATTATCTAAGGCAAATTGAGGTTACAAATGTGTACAATGCAGTTAAATATAAAAAGAAATAATGATTGTAAAAATCTTTAATAAATCTTCAGTACATGGTATAGACATGATAAAAGGTAATGTTAATTTTTTCAATAAATTCCTTGGTAAAGACATTATTATTTTATAACTAAAGTTCGTTCAGTAAAAGGTTTAAAAAGGGTGTAACTAAATATGTAAGCACATGTTAAATCTAAGATAAATCATGTAAAGCCCAGACTATTGTTGTCAATGTTGACAAATTCTTAATTCTGAGCATATCATGGAGGCACTTGTAGAAAAAATCAGGACATTCTACTCGCATGTTAGCGAGGAGTGCGATATCTGCGCCAGTTAAACTGCTGATTCCGCACCTGTAACAGATAACAATGGTGTAACAGGGTTACGTCTTGAAAAAAAGACATATTAGTAACCTCTCCATCTGCATTCTCCAAGACGAAAGGCAATTACAAAAGGAATTATTTTTAAAGAATTTTACACTGGCAGTCTATATAGGCAGGAACATATGCTTGAGGTAAACAACCAAGTTTTCCCATAACAGTGATCGAAAAGCAAAGTATTCCCCATTATAAAGTTAGCAAGTGTTTAATTTTTGTTGCATTTGACATATCTATTATAAATCAAAATACAAATAACAACAAGATATATCTGTATGCAATTTACTCGACTATTCTCAGTGTTCGACAGTAAGTAATGGGGTGTAACTATGTAAAAAGTTAAGTTAGGTTATGTTATCTGTTCCGATGATCATGTACGAATTTCAGAGAGAATAAGTGTGTAAAGTTTCAGTCCTTTCTAGAGATGCAAACACAAAACTAAAGTGTAACCCTGATGCCGAAACACAAACATTTGGTCGAGTCCAGAAGCTCTCACTATTCTCCGAACAATTAAGCCAAGAAATGATGTTTCCTTAAACTTGTTTCGTTATACATTTATAATTGTACTCATAAGAGCATCATGCATTACGGTGATGCTGATGCAATTTCATTCTTTCAAATAATGAGACCTATGTGATGTAAAAACTAGCAAATCCTGCCTGATTTGTGTGAATATCACTACAAGACATTTCAAACTCCGGCAAAAAGTGACTGTGATTGTTTTCATATTTTAATTGTCATATGTTCGATCTTTTTGACAAATCATTTAGTAATTACCCCCTTCCCCTTTTACATGCATTACTTTCGAATTAAAGTTCAGCTTAAGTATGGCATTACTTGTGCTCATATAAACTGCCAAACTAATCATTGCACTGAGCACACTAATATTAGATTATTTAACTATATTATTGGAATTAAAACGTGTATCATTTAAATGTATTTACTTTTCCAATCTGTTCTTGACAATCCATTTTTTCACATCGTCTGCCGTCCACTTTCTCACATTTTCAATGGTTGCCTTAGAAAGTGATATCTTAGCAACCGTAGTACTCGCAGAAGAAGCTGTGTCTGGATGATCTATAGAATGAGCACCTGCTGCCTCCGTCACCTGAAGAATAATTGCCACACACAGTGTAACCTTGGTTGCATAATTATCTTTATAAAATAACCGTAACAATTCTTCTAAATATAACACTTCACAATAAATTCAACCCCCTAGGGAAAAAAACTCTCAGAAACAGCAAAAGCTTTGTTTCCCAAAGGGTGTTGCACTGAGGTAGAAGTATATTATTATAGTCATCATATATTTAGTTAATATATAATCTATCATATTTTGAGACTCTTCGGTATCAAGTGAATTACAAATGTAATTACTTGGCTATAGTGTTTTTTTTAATCTAAGGGAATATATTTTGCAATATACATGTAATTTCACTGCAAATACATTTAAAAATTGAAATTCTTTTTAGATTTATAATTACATGTACATATATGTTATTATTGGCATTTATACAAACTTTGATAAAATGATGTTTTTTTTTATTTTCATACAAGGTTGATGTAGACTTATAATGTAATTTTCACATTTTTTAAAATAAAGTATTTCATGGTGTTGTATTATAAATTTCTAAGATCGTTTGAGAGGTAAAAAGACTATGTATAAGCAGCTGTTAAAAAAATAATAATCATATTCATTTTTGGTCATAAAACTGTCCAAAATCTGTTTATCTTATAACATAATGATACTGCATATTTGTAATGTCGCTTTTCATTGGACAATCGAGACATTAATATATTTTTTATGACATTGCACGCTTGTAACGTCACTTTTCTTTGGATGATCGTGACGTTTGTATTGTTTTATATACACGACTGCTGTCAATTTTCTAAGAAGTCTCATTTTTTTCTCAAAAAGGAGGTTTGCGTATTATAAATTCATTATAAATATTCCTGACAGGGTATAGGTCCGTATTTAAACGATTGTTTGCAATATAGCCCTCGCCTAGTGACTCTGGTTATATTTATAAACAGCCGTTTATATAGGGCCATATAACCTGTTTATATAGGGTCATATAACCTGTAAAATCTTTATAATTAATATTATACACAGCTGCTGTCATTTTTAAAGGAATCCTCTAAATAAGTAAGATTTCTGTATTATCTATTTGTCTAGCGGCTCAGTTATATATACAACCTTCATTTATATAGGCCCATATAACTTGTCTTTATAACTAATGATATAGACCAATACATAACTAGAAATTGTGTCAATGCCACGAACACAATTGTCCAATCATAAAACTAATTGTCAGTCTACCAACATTGTGACAGCAGGATGTACAAGGGGCTTACAAATCCTAAAAACGTACAGAAGGAATCAGAGGTTTGATAATCTCCCCTGAATCAGGAACATCTCCTGATCTTCCTAGTACTCCATCTATCTCCTTAAGCAAGGCCTTCATCTTGTCTTCAAATGGATACTTTGGGCTGAACTCGTAGAACAACTTGGCGCCCACTATAAAGCCGAGCCATCCATCAGGAGTATACCCTCTCTCCATCTTTAATGGAATAACCCTTTTGCGTAGTTGAAATGCATATTCTGCCTCTGCAATGAAAAGAAAATGAAAAAGAAACAAAAGTTTGGTATGTCAGTGTGCTTGAATATTCTCAGTGTTTGTAAGTAAACATGAGCCAAGATAATGTAAAACTTCCTAAGTTCAAAAGGGGTTATTGTTCTTTAAAAATATCCATGTTGGAGTTATGGGCATTGGATAGTTAATTTCTATTATGCTCTCAAATAAGTGTGTGACGTTTCAACTTATTTCCTTCTGTACTTTTCTAACTTACACAAAAACTTCATTATAGTTGAGCTGAATATGATAATGCACCAGCAAATTGAAAACAAAGCAACCAAATCACTACTTATAGATAAATATTGAAAGCCATGGCTGTCTTATATTGTTCTTTTTTTAATTTATTTAACCATTTGGATAATATATCAGTTCACTTCGACTATATATGAATTAAAAACACCTTCTTATTTAACCGGAATCCATTATATTAATCCACAGTTATACTATATGAAACCATACCGTCAATGTATGAAACCGAAATAGCAATATATAAGTTGATTTTCTCAATATATGATTTTAATTCTTCAATATATTATACCACAGTAGCCATGTATGGAACCAGATGTCCTTATATGAAACCGAATTATCAATATATTGATTCATTTTACAATATATGAAACCAATTTAGCAATTTATGAAACCAAAGTAGAAATATATAAGTTGGTTATCACATTATATGAAACCAATTCTCCAATATATGGTACCAAAGCAGTCATATATGGAACAAGATATCCATATATTGAACCGAACAATCAATATATTAATTAACTTTACAATGTATGGAACCGAAGTAGCAATATATAAGTTGATTATGAAATTTTATGATACCTTATATGAAACCGAATTTTCAATATATTAATTCATTATTACAATTTATGACACCATTTTATCAATGTATGGAACCAAAGTAGCAATATATGACTTGATTATCAATTTATATGACACCAGTTCTTCAATATATGATACCAAAGTGGCCATATATAGAACCAGATGTCATTATATGAAACCGAATTATCAATATATTATTTCATTTTTATACTAAATGAAACAATTTTATTAATGTATGGAACCAAAGTAGCAGTATATAAGTTGATGTTACATTCTATGATAGCAATTTTCATTATATGGAACCAAAGTAGCCTATTTTCAAGTCAACAAGTCAAAGGCCAAGGTCACTGGGTTCTGTAATTATTTTAAGTATTTTATGAAATCAATACTTATTTGACTTTTGTGAGTAGATTAATCTTCATGTGTCCTACTGACCATACTCAGTTTTTATCAAAGGTAAAGGTCGAGATGAACTGATTTTTTTAAATATGTTTTTGTTAATGGTCGGTAAGACTCAGAAGTATAAATTATGACTTTGAAACTTTACATACATATATAACGATAAGTTTTGCCTGCCAAGCCCAATTTAAGGCGAAAGTGAATGTGACTTTAAATTCAAATATTTCCCATTTTTAGAAAATGTGCAGTATGCCATTAGTGAAGCACGCTAATCTTTTGACAGTTCTATAAGGAATATTGGCGCGAAACTGTACTACAGGTGCAAGGATAGAATACAGCCTTTAAAGAAGGTCCCGTCAATATAATGACATTTTGGTTCAATGCATTGCTTATTTGGTTCCGTATATTGGAAAAGTGGATTCATATACTAGCAACCTATGTTAATATATTGAGGAATTGGTGTCATATAATATAAAAATCAGCATATACATTGATCAAATGGTTTCATATATTGTAAAAACGATTAAATATATTGATAATTCGGTTTTATGTAAGGACATCTGGTTCCATACATTGCTACTTTGGAATCATATATTGATGAACTGGTATCATATAATGTGATAATCAACCTATATATTGCTACTTCGGTTTCATACATCGATAAACTGGTTTCATATATTGTAAAAATGAATAAATATTTTGATAAATCGGTTTCATATAAGGACATCTGGTTCCATATATTGCTACTTTGGTATCATATATTGAAGAACTGGTACCACATCAGGGCCGGTTCAACTTATAAGTTGATATTTTGGATCAATACATGGATGAAATGGTTTCATATATTGTAAAATTGAATAAATATATTGATAATTTGGTTTCATATAAGTGCATCTGGTTCCATACATTGAAGATCTGGTATCATATAATGTGATAATCATCTTTTATATTGATACTTTGGTTCAACACATTGATAAAATGGAATCATATATAGTAAAATTGAATTAATATATTGTATTTCGGTTTCATATAAGGACACCTGGTTCCATACATGGTTACATTGATTCCATATAGTGAAAAATTGCTATCATATAACGTGTTAATCAACTGATACATTGCTACTCTGGTTCCACACATTGATTAAATGGTTTCATATATTGTAAAAATGAATTAATATATTGATAATTCGGTTTCATATCAGGACATCTGGTTCCATACATTGCTACTTTGGAACCATATATTGAAGATCTGGTATCATATAATGTGATAATCAACTTATATATTGATACTTCGGCTCTATACATTGATAAAATGGTTTTTATATATTGTAAAAATGAATTAATATATTGATAATTCGGTTTCATATAAGGATATCTGGTTCCATACATGGCTTCTGTGGTACAATATATTGAAGAATTGGTACCATATATTGATAAAATCAACTAACATATAGCTACATTGGTTTCATACACTGAAGGCATGGTTTCATATATTGTAACTGTGGATTAATATAATCGATTCCGGTTAAACAAGAAGGTGTTCTCAATTCATATATAGTCGAAGTGAACTTATATACTATCCAAATGGAAAAATAATTGAAAAAGAACAATATAAGACAGCCATGGCTTTCCATAGATAAAACGTTTGAGTTATCTAATGGTAAGTATAGGCCTTGGCATGCAAGAACTAAGAGGGTAAGTCCATGCAAAATTGTGTGCCAAGTATGTATTTGGCTAGCTTGGTGCTAAAACAAAACCATCAACTTAACAGACAGAGGGTTTTAAATTCAACTAAATTCCTCAAAACACCCACCATTTTCCTTTTCCTCGTTAATAACCCGACACCAGTATATAGTTCTTTGTTATACTTAATTTAGTACGTTTAAGTCAGGTCAGAGGGTGTTTTCCTCCGTGGCATTATTTGATAATACATCAATATGGTGATTGGGTATGTTATACATAATTTAAAATAGCAGCAACATACATGTATATGCTTGAAACTATTGCCAATAAAAAGCCGGTTAAAATAGTCTGTAAAAGATTTAATCAATTACCTGCCCTGCAAGCAGGACTATGCTTGTACTTGTTGGACATACAAATAAGGAACACATCAGCACCTTCCACAGCCTCTGCCATAGCTTGAAGTGTGGATCCTCCCATCTGGTCAATATCCATCCAAACCTAAATTTACGTAGAAGCATTTTGGTGGGTCAAACATAAAGGCAAACCTGTTTTAAAGACACATCCAATATATGACCACCCTGTTAATAAGCGAACTCTTCAACAACCTTTCAATGAATAAAAAGAAAAGAGTGATCTTGCAATTAAGACTACTTTTTGGAAAAAAAACCCTAATACTCCTAGTGAGGTCATTTAGTCTTAGTGAGGACAATTATTATTAAAAGCATAGTGAGGACACTTAGCCTTGATTACATATTGAGGATACATACTCTAAGATGGAGTAATGAGAACACTTAGTATTGATGGCATAGTGAATCCATTAAGTGTTGATGAAAACGTGAACATACTTTGTATTGATGAATAATTGAAGACACTTACCCATGATGACAGAGTGCAGACACTTTGTATTGCTGAAAGCGTGAGGACACTTACTCTTGATGAAATAGTGGGGATACTTAGTCTTGATTGAATATTGTTGACACAGTCTTGATTTCATAGTGAGGTCAATTAGTCTTAATCAAATAGTGAGGACACTTAGTCTTGATAGCATAATGAGGGAACTTAGCCTTGATGGCATAGTGAGGACAAGTTATACTACTCTTTGTATAATTGAGCATTAAGTTAATGTTGCAACCTAAAACTTTAAAGTTTGTATGATCAATTTGTATATTTCAGGTTAAAATGAGTGTGTGCCAAATTGTATTCACAAACATACCTGTCGTATTGTAATTTTTTAAGCATACCTTATATCCCCTTGCCTTGATGTTGTCTCGTACATTTTTAAGTACCTGCTGATCTGCCCATTGGTAAGAAATCATCACATGACCTTTAGATAATGCCTTTTCCTCTTCCAATGTGGTCTTTCTCTTCTTTTTAGCGAATATTTTTACTGCTTTATCTGTGCTATAAAACTGCAAACCTTTTTAAAACAAAGGCAGACTATAATGCTTAACCTCCTGAATTTGTGAAATGGACTTGCCCTGTTTTTAATTTGGTCCAGTCCATTTCAAATTTAAAGTTTTTCCAATTTAAGGCAATTCAAATTTTCAAAACTGAGATTTAAACAGTACAAAGCTTGGTCAGTTTGCATGGATGTACTTGTGGCAAAGGCTAATAATTTTCCTTTCAAGAAGAGTAAAAGGTTATTAATTATGCAATCTTAAAATTGCTTTGATATGCGCTTCCCTGATTGGCTTAGAACCAACTTTTGTTAAAAATAACAGGCCAATATCAGAGTATATTCACTAAATTACAGACAACAAAAAATAAAACGATGAGATTTGTTCTAAATCTTGATTCCAGAGTTCATATTGGCCCTTCCCATTTTAAATCCCTTAATTAGTTACCAGTTTGTAAAAGAGTTGAACAAAGTATGTTATGTCATGTTTTTAGGTTAAAAACCATATGGCTCGTGCTTAAGTGATTGTTTTGTTTCTCGGGAATCTTTTAGTTTTATTGGTCCTAAACTATGGAACAGTCTTCCAACTTGAATAACTGAAATTAACAAATATCATCGTTTTAAGGTAGCCATCAAAAGTCACTTTTGAAGAAGCATGTAAGTGTTTTTCTTAAAATTTCTTGCAAGAAAATTTTATATGTTTTCATTTTTCTATTGAATTATTTTTCGGCTCAGGTTTACTGTTTCATTTTTTTGATTTTTTTTTTTAAATTTTTAGTAAGACTTTAAAAACTTTATCTTTTTTTTAAATAGCGTAATCTATGGCATGCTCTTTTAATTAGTGAATTTTTTTTATGAAATACCTCTCTTTGTCATGCGACCACAATGGAAATATGGGCTTGCTCTTTTTGTGTTATCCTTGGTTTTGGGAACATGTCATTGTTTACATAATATAGTATTTTTTCATTTATTTATTTATTTGTAATTGTTTTAATCAAAGAAAGACGATATATTTTCAGAATGATCCTACTTTTTAAAATTCAAAACGGACTAACTCCAGATTATTTTTTTTTTCAATTCTCCCAACAAAAACTAATGATAGGTACAACCGAAGAAATATTGACAATATTCCGGGAATATATGCAAGAACTACACTTTATTTTAACTCTTTTTTCCGACTGCAATAATGGAATGGAATAATCTTCCACGCGATGTCCGTAACCTTCCTACTTTCACATCATTCAAACAAAAGAAAAACAAACGACAAACGCCTAATTATTACTTTTCTGGTGAAAGAAAACTTCAAATTCTTCATACAAGACTTCGAACAAAATGTAGTTCTCTAAACTAACATTTGTTTTTGAAAAACATAACTGCACCGCCTTTATGTCTTTGCGGCCGAATAGAAAATAACTTTCATTTCTTTTTCGAATGTACACAATTTGACACAGCTCGACAAAAGTTACTTCGAAATTTGAATAATGTTGACATTGATTTAAATGTTCTACTTTTAGGCAACCTAGACCTTTCTGACCAAACTAATGACATAATTTTTTCACACGTACACACTTACATCAAAGAGACAAAAAGATATATTTAACATCCAAACACTTAATTATTATATTCCTATACTTTATACCTCATTAGTTATCTTTCTCCTTCTTCACTACCTTTTCACCTTTCTGTGTTCTTTTCAAATACTATTCTCCTTTATATGTTTATATTAATATAAATGTTAATTCAATCCCTTAATATATTCATTCTAAATTATATATTCATTCTAAATATATTCAATGGAACATATTTTATGTTTCTTAAAGCATTTAAATACATATCAAATTCTGTGTTTGAGTTTTACTCTTAATCAAAACTACATAGGGAAAGCCACTTCAACTTTGTATCCATTATAATGATCTGTAGAACAAAGTCGTTTACCCTATCACCATTCTTAGGATAACTTAATTCCAAAATTGCCCTATCTGTAGATATTTGGCCATATCATTTGAAAACAAAACAGAACCAGTATGATTCTTCATTTTTGAAGTTTTAAAAAATAAAATACTTTTATTTTCTAAGTTAATATCAAGAGGAAGCCCAAATTTCAATAAATCTCAAACCTGCGTATCAAAATAAACATGAGACATCTTACTCATGAAATCAGTATCAATTTTATGATTTACATGTACATGAATCCGAAAGCCTTTAAAGTTTAACTTTCCAGAAGCTTTAATTTGCTTAACAATATCAATATTCTCTACAGTATATAAGTTCGACTTATCTTTAAGAATTTAAGAAACTTTTCAACTTCTAGTTTATGCTTACAAAACAACCAGAATAAAAAGTAACCTTGCAGACAGAAGAAAAATCAGGTCAGAAAACATCAATCAATTTATTTCTTGAAGCAACATCAATTGACAGTTACTGATTTACATGAAGACAAACACTAGATCATTCTGGATAAGGGAAATCTTTCTTATCCGAGTCCAAGCTAGTAGCGAAGTTGTGCGTAGAGAAACGAGTTTTACTTGAAAGAGGCCATATTTAGGATTTGGCTTCAACTGTACTGACTCTCACCTATTCTTAGATTTCTGGAAACGTATGTTTAGCACATTGAAAGTCCTCTCCGCATATGCTATGACAAAACTGAATTTCTCTCAAAACAGCTGCATACAGAGACTTAAATACTACAACATCATAAAAGCTGTTAAGATACATCACTTTTTTCAATATATTTAAGCGTCCTTGTTTATCTTTATATCTTTTTTACTTATCTTTTGAGAACAAATAAATTTTATCTCTCCCGCAACGAATAAGTTAAAATTAAGTTTCTCAAAGGAAATGTCCTTACTCAAAATCAAAACCGAAATTAGCATGTGGAAATTGCTGCTTATATTAAACAGACTCAAAAGATCTTTAAAGAAATTCCTGATTTAGTTTTGTGGTTTCTATCTTGAATCTTTGATCTCTTATGACTTAAAAAGGAACAGAGTAACAATCATCCTTAGAAGTAGAACTTGATCCAGAGCTGGAACTTTAATCTGTATCAGATGACTCAGACCTAAACAAACCTAAAGCTAATTCCTTCTTGACAGATTTTTGTTATCAAGGTACATTCCGCAAAGCGTCAATAGTAAGAATCCTTCCTTCCTACCTGCGCCTTTTGGCGTCGGTTTATTAACAGAACAGGAGGGGTACTCAATACAGTATGTCTACCCTTTCGTACAACTCTACAGTTTTTACTAGTCTTGATTGTACCACTATCCTGTACATAAGATGACATTTACTTCTCGATGTCATGAATGTACACTTCCCTTCCTTCTTCTTGACTTCTAAGCATCTCCAGCTCATTCCATTCCTGTAAGCGAGCCTGCTGTTTATCTGAACAAATATTCTCAGAAACATTGACATCGCCCAAAATTACTTCCGACGGTGACTTAGCGACTTAGTGACTTTCCCCTGGGTAAACCATACAAATGAACAAAAGAAATTGTTATTGCTTCTGAAATCTGTGATTTTTTAGCGGAGGTGGAGACCTATTTTTCATTCATTGCCTTGTTATTGAGACCTTTGTTATTGCTCGTTGATTTTTGGTCCCAAATGATTATCAGATGAATAAACAACAAGTTATACAGTCATGTACTTCACACAAAAAGCTGGTCCTTAAACAGCTGATTACAAATAACAAATAGTCTCAAGTACTTAATTGTATTTCTTTAAATTATTAACAAAACATATTTGAATCTAAATGTCGGGCACAATAAAAGCCTTTATGACAACAAATTTCTTAATTTGAAAAAGCGTCTATTTGCAAACGTTAGGCCCTCAATGTGGTCATGGAAAGCGCACATCCTTCTTTATTTGTAAGAAGGGTAGACGGTTGCATGAGAGCGATCTTTTAGCAAGAAGATTTTTGCTATAAAGGAATTTCAAGGGAGCATGGGAGCTGGTGGACAAGACAATGAAACGTTTTTCTTCCCTTGAGTCCATGTTGTGAAAATACTTCTGATAGAGGTGCGTGAGTTTGGAGAAAATCTTTGGAAAGGTTTTCAGCTGCAAAGATTGCTGAGCATAACTGCTATAGAAGTGGCTCAGTAATGGTGTGGTGGGTATCATTTTATTGGATGATTATGGATGTCCTTACAGGACCTGAATGGTCCAGGACTCCCTGCAAAGGAAATATATTGAGCACATTGACTGGCCAGCTTATTTACCAAACCTTTATACATTCATTTTGAGCAAGTGTGGAATAAGCTGTAGATAATTGTATATAAGGCATTGCCATGTAATTTTGTCTGCAATAGGTATAAACTTGTAAATATAAATGAGTTGCAGGCCCAAAAACCTTGGATAGGCAGACTTCATATTATATAAAATATGAAGAATTTTGTCATTGCTATGATAATTTGTTTTATTAAAAACAATAATTTGTTTAATACTAACTTTGAATTTTTTTGTTACAGCATCACTGTCTAGGTCATTCATCGACTTCCAAACCTTTATGGTAAAGGAAGACCTCACGCGTTTTTGCAGGCATGAGTTCTACCTAAGTACAACCGTCCGTATACAGATTCCAACCAAAAGTAGTGAGTGTCAAAATGTTTAAAGTCAACAACCTTGCACTCTCATCTATTGAACCCGTTACTTTTTGGGCAAACCTCATATAATATCATCACATTTTGACAAGTGAGAGTTAGTTCTCCATTGTAATTTCCTATGAGAAAATATAAAGTCATTGCAACTAAAACACATGTCTAAACACTGCGTCGACGAAGGCTTCACGTGACCTCTAGTAAGTAGGCATTTCCATTTCCCAAACGTTTTAAATCCCAGAATCTTTGCTACAACTTTTTAGCCCGTCCCTTTGGAGGCTATTTTGTTGGGCCAAAAAAACCAGCCGGTTTATCTGAGTTGAAACCCGTTTTTTAAAAGGGGAAAAAATACAATTGGGATTTCTTTTGGTTTTGTAAACTCCAATGTTCAAAACCCTTGGGCTGAAATTTGCCCATTTAAAAATTGTAAAA